TTTTTTTTTTTTTTAGTTTTTTTCGAGACAGGGTTTCTCTGTGTAGCCCCGGCTGTCCTGGAACTCACTCTGTAGACCAGGCTGGCCTCGAACTCAGAAATCCGCCTGCCTCTGCCTCCCAAGTGCTGGGATTAAAGGCATGCGCCACCACTGCCCGGCTCTCTCTCTCTTTCTTAAACAATGGCAATGTGTCCCATTATAAATTAGGAATACAGAATATTTGATGCTAAAAGGCTGTATAGTTGACATGAAGCCACTTTGTAGAACATGGTAAGGGGATGGTTTGGTTTTACCGTGGTGGAGGCTCTGTTGTGTTTACTATGAAATCCAGCCTTGTGATCTGAGGCAGGTTCCTTACCCAGATCTCTTGGGTACTTATCACTAGCCAGGAAAGGTTTGTGGAAGTGGCAAAGTAGTCCCTGGCACACAGCTAGCATGTAGACATCCAATTAAAGTGATAAATGCATCATCACACAGGTCTCTGACAGAGATGTTTGCTGCCAGGCCTGATGTTCTTCCTCAGGCTGGCCCAGAAAACCTGCACCCTCTAACGTGTTGTTTGGGAAGAAGTAGTAAGAGAGCTGAAGCTCATTAGACTTCTCCTTAGAACTGCATTTTTAAAATGGCTTGTATTAAAGTGCAAGTTGCATAAGTAAGTACACGTTTGATATGTTTTTGAAAGCACCGCACAATATATAGGATATATCCACCATATTCATTGGTTTACCCCCTTGGATTCCCTTCCACTGCTACTTCCTGTTCCCAGGCAACCACTGAAGTGCCATTGTACATTAGTTTACATTGCTTCAGAATTCTATGGAAAAGATGGAACTGGAGCTTTATCAGTGATTCATCTATGAGCACCGACAACTAAGGAGTGTTTACTCTATGCATAACTCACTCTAATGTTTTCTGATTTTTTTCTTTTAAAAAGTGTATTTGCTATTTAGTACCAAGGCTTGCTCTTTCTTCTCTCTGTCCCTCCCTCCCTCCCTCCCTCCCTCCCCCCTCCCTCC